AACTTCACACACTTGTTCTCTGTGATTATCTAAGATGATTGGCACAAGTCCCATAACTCTGATTTGCTTTTTTTTATAATTATGCCCCTTTTTCGACTTAGAAATTTTTGGTTAAGTTTTTGTATGTAAGCTGGTATCTCCATAACTACTGAAGGGAATGGATTGAAACTTCACACACTTGTTCTCTGTGATTATCTAAGATGATTGGCACAAGTCCCATAACTCTGATTTGCTTTTTTCATAATTATGCCCCTTTTTCGACTTAGAAATTCTTGGTTAAGTTTTTGTATGTAAGCTGTTATCTCCATAACTACTGAAGGGAATTGATTGAAACTTCACACACTTGTTCTCTGTGATTATCTAAGATGATTGGCACAAGTCCCATAACTCTGATTTTGCTTTTTTACATAATTATGCCCCTTTTTCGACTTAGAAATTCTTGGTTAAGTTTTTGCGTGTAAGCTGGTATCTCCATAACTACTGAAGGGAATGGATTGAAACTTCACACACTTGTTCTCTGTGATTATCTAAGATAATTGCCACAAAGTCCCATAACTCTGATTTGCTTTTTTTACATAATTATGCCCCTTTTTCGACTTAGAAATTCTTGGTTAAGTTTTTGCATGTAAGCTGGTATCTCCATATCTACTGAAGGGAATGGATTGAAACTTCACACACTTGTTCTCTGTGATTATCTAAGATGATTGGCACAAGTCCCCATAACTCTGATTTGCTTTTTTCATAATTATGCCCCTTTTTCGACTTAAGAAATTCTTGGTTAAGTTTTTGTATGTAAGCTGTTATCTCCATAACTACTGAAGGGAATTGATTGAAACTTCACACACTTGTTCTCTGTGATTATCTAAGATGATTGGCACAAGTCCCATAACTCTGATTTGCTTTTTTACATAATTATGCCCCTTTTTCGACTTAGAAATTCTTGGTTAAGTTTTTGCGTGTAAGCTGGTATCTCCATAACTACTGAAGGGAATGGATTGAAACTTCACAACACTTGTTCTCTGTGATTATCTAAGATGATTGGCACAAGTCCCATAACTCTGATTTGCTTTTTAACATAATTATGCCCCTTTTTCGACTTAGAAATTCTTGGTTAAGTTTTTGCATGTAAGCTGGTATCTCCATAACTACTGAAGGGAATGGATTGAAACTTCACACACTTGGTCTCTGTGATTATCTAAGATGATTGGTACAAGTCCCATAACTCTGATTTGCTTTTTTTGCATAATTATGCCCCTTTTTCGACTCATGAACTCTTGGTAAAGTTTTTGCATGTAAGCTTGTCTCTCCATAACTACTGAAGGGAATGTATTGAAACTTGAAGAGTTTGTACCTTTTCGGACAATTTTATGTATTCATATAGGTAAGCATTATTATACTCAATGAAACACCCTTGTGACAAATTTTCGAATAGTCGAGCGTTACTGTCCTCCGACAGTTCTTGTTAAATATATTGTAGGTGTATAGTTAGTTAAATAGTGATAATTTTGTTGACAAAAGACAGTATTAGTAGTAGTGATGTTATGTTATGTGTTATGAATATTATACAGAAATCCAAAATCTGCGCCAAAATGTTATATATACATGTCCTGTAAATAAGTTCTTTGTGATAACATAAACTGTAATAATTTAACCATATTTAAACTAATTTATGCACTTGGTCCTTTTCATCTTAAATATTACTTTATTAGATAGTAGCCAATTTACATAATTTCTTATGCACAACAAAAATAAGTGACAATTCTTAGCAATTAAGTATATGTTATGTTTTTATCCAGAAATGTTTTCATCCAGAAATAGAATGTACAGAATTCAAAAGTTTTTATGTGATTATTATGAGGTTATTTTGAGATTACTTTAAATGAAAAAAGTCAGGATTTTCATTGTATTTTCATAGGTATTTTTACTGAAAGAATTTTTTACATTATATTTATAGAAATTTAATTCTAGTCTCTTCTCTAAGCTGAAAACTATCAATGTGTCTAGTCACTTATAATTAGAAGAAACATTATACAGTATGTTTGATATTGTTTTGTTCATACCTTTGTAGTCACATGTTCTATTTTTAATTTTTTTTTTTTTTTGTTATTACAATAAAGTTGAATTTATAAAAATTTACTTGATATTTTGTATTTTTATGACTTTTGAAAATACCTTAAATCTGAGAACTTCCGGGGGCTACGCCCCCTGGTCCCCCACCAGGGACTCTGTCCCTGGACCCTGTAAGGGGGCTCAGGCCACCCCCTTAACCACAGGCCAATTTTCAGAGCAAACTTTTATAAGACAATCACATCCCTGGGTTAAGGTCTCGGGCCTTCACTAAAAAAAGCTTGTCTGCCAAATAACTTCAGATTCCTTTGACCCACAGTCTTCATATTTGGCTTGGAGGTTGATCATGACCATTAGGTGACCCCCTATTGATTTTGAGGTCACCAGGTCAAAGGCCAAGGTCACAGGGGCCTTGACTTCAAAAAGCTTGTCCGCCCAATAACTTAAGATTCCTATGACCCACAGTCTTCATATTTGGTATTGAGGTTGTTTATGACTAGTAGATAACACCTATTGATTTTGAGGTGACTGTGTCAAAGGTCACAGGGATTTTTACTATATTTAGCATGTTTGCTCAAATGCATAAAAATGCATGTCTGCAGTGTATTGATTTTGACATTTTTATACCCCCGCACAACAAAGATGTAAGGGGGGTATACTGGAATCAGCTTGTCCGTCTGGCCATCCGTCGGTTTTTTCTTGTCCGCCCAATAACTTAAGATTCCTTTGACCCACAGTCTTTATATTTGGCATGGAGGTTAGTCATGATTAGTAGATGACCCCTATTGATTTTGAGGTCACCAGGTCAAGGTCACAGGGGCCTTGACATTAAAAAGCTTGTCCGCCTAATAACTCAAGATTCCTTTGACCCACAGTCTTCATATTTGGCATGGAGGTTAGTCATGATTAGTAGATGACCCCTATTGATTTTGAGGTCAAAGGTCAAGGTCACAGGGGCCTTGACTTCAAAAAGCTTGTCCGCCCAATAACTTAAGATTCCTTTGACCCATAGTCTTCATATTTGGCATGGAGGTTAGTCATGATTAGTAGATGACCCCTATTGATTTTGAAGTCACCAGGTCAAAGGTCAAGGTCACAGGGGCCTTGACTTCAAAAAGCTTGTCCGCCAAATAACTTAAGATTCCTTTGACCCACAGTCTTCATATTTGGCATGGAGGTTAGTCATGATTAGTAGATGACCCCTATTGATTTTGAGGTCACCAGGTCAAAGGTCAAGGTCACAGGGGCCTTGACTTAAAAAAAGCTTGTACGCCCAATAACGTAATAATCTTTTGGCGCACAGTCTTCATATTTGGTATTGAGATTGTTCATGATTAGTAGATGACCCCTATTGATTTTGAGGTCACAAGGTCAAAGGTCAAGGTCACAGGGGCCTTGACTTCAAAAAGCTTGTCCGCCAAATAACTTAAGATTCCTTTGACCAACAGTCTTCTTCATATTTGGCATGGAGGTTAGTCATGATTAGTAGATGACCCCTATTGATTTTGAGGTCACCAGGCCAAAGGTCAAGGTCACAGGGGCCGTGACTTCAAAAAGTTTGTCTGCCCAGTTACTTAAGATTCCTTTGACCCACAGTCTTCATATTTTGCATGGAGGTAAGTCATGATAAGTAGATGACCCCTATTGATTTTGAGGTCATCAGGTCAAAGGTCAAGGTCACAGCGGCCTGGACTTCAAAAAAGCTTGTCCACCCAATAACTTAAGATTCCTATGACCCACAGTCTTCATATTTGGCATGGAGGTTAGTCATGATTAGTAGATGACCCCTATCAATTTTGAGGTCACCAGGTCAAAGGCCAAGGTCACAGGGGCCTTGACTTCAAAAAGCTTGTCCGCCCAATAACTTAAGATTCCTTTGACTGACAGTCTTCATATTTGGCATGGAGGTTAGTCATGATTAGTAGATGACCCCAATCGATTTTGAGGTCACCAGGTCAAAGGTGAAGGTCACAGGGGCCTTGACTTCAAAAAGCTTGTCTGCCCAATAACTTAAGATTCCTTTGATCCACATTCTTCATATTTGGCATGGAGGTTAGTCATGATAAGTAGATGACCCCTATTGATTTTGAGTTAACCGGGTCAAAGGTCAAGGTCAGAGGGACCTTGTCAAAAAGCTTTTCCCCTCAATTGCTATAGAATGCCTGTCCATAGTGTTTTGATTTTGACATTTTCACATTTGAAGCATGAAGAATACATAACTAAGCAATGCACTGGCTTAGTAACCTCAGATGTTAGAGAGGTTGTCCTTGAGTTCTAAATGGCCACTGTTGATTCTGACAAAGTGGTATGCGGGGTATTCATGCCATGACAGTGGCAGTTCTAGTTACATTTGAAGCATTATAATACATAACTTAGCAATGCACTAGCTTAGTAACTTCAGATTTTGCAGGGAGGTTGTCCTTGAGCTCTAAATGGCCACTGCTGATTCTTACAAAGTGGTAAGCAGTGGTATTAATGCCATGACAGTGGCAGTTCTAGTTTTACCAAATTTTTGGATATCATCATGAATGTTTTTTTAGCTTGTCAGGGGCTGTATAGATTGTCTGCACTATTGTATATAGGTGGACAAGGTGGTTAAAATATTTTATTTCACTTGATAATGTTAAGAATGCTTCAGACATTAAATTAAAAAAAAAATAGATAAACAAAAAAAACATTATAAGGACATTATGATTCACATCATGTATATAATGATGATTATTAATGGTAAAGTTTTTTTTTAACTTAAAAATCTTCTCCTCTAAAATACAGTGCCCATAGCATAGTTATTTTGCATGTTATGATGTAGCTTTACCTTATTGTCCTTGACAAAAGTTATTTTTCTGTCCGCCTTGTTTTACTGAGCTATAGTATACATGCTGAAGATCATAGATGGTTGTAACCATAAATTATTACTACAGTTCTGTTTTCAGTTCTTCAAGATTCCTGTTGGGACTTCTATAAACCAAAGATGGAACAGTTCATGAAGGAAGGCAAAAAATGGGTAGGTACCCTCTGTTTTGATTATGGTTTGTTTGTCTGGTTTTTACACAGAGTTTAACAAATGTCTTGTCCCAGGTCGGAGGTCAGTCCACCTATCCAAATTTCCTGGAAAGTAAACCAGTAATTTCTCTGCTAGTGACCAACTATAAATCTCACATGAATTCTGAATCTGTTGTGTGAGATAAATGACCAGTAGACTCAATGTCAGAGATCAGACATTGTGGAAATATTTCAGCTTGCTCAAGGATTGAGCCAGGTACTCCCTGGATTACTAAGCAGATGCTCTGTCTGTTGGGCTCAAGGGGTGGACATAAATTACAGTGAATTGCTCAGCATTGCCATGAAATATTTTCATTTGATAGTTTGAATTTAAAGCAGCATGCCTATTTTCATGAACATTTTGAAAATGTGTTGAAAAATGAGATATTGTGAAGTGAACAAAAAAGTTATTTATAAATTGCAAATGGTACTAACAATCCACATGAATTAACAAATGTAAAAAAAGCCATTACTTCATTCGTCATGCAGTAGTAAGGAGGTGAAAAATACTGCAAAATCTGTCATATAACAAACATGTAAATCATTACTTGAACAGTGAATATTTTTACTTTTCATAAAATCTTAATACATTTTTGAGCGGGTTGCACAGGTGCAAACCCGGGTTATAGTATGGTGGATGTAGGGCGGCAGGTGAGTGGGGAAGAAATTTTTGTGACGGTTTTCTCAGCAACTACTTCTTCATATTTGGTACACGGCATTAACACGTATTCCTAGACTATGGGATTCAATTTCAGGTCTGCCGCTCATCCACTTCCTGTTTACCGACTTAAAACTTAAAAGTTAAATTTTTGACATTAATGATCAATGGTAGAAAATTTTCATAACATCACAGCCTCATGATATTTATATAAATGCCACCCGGCCATTTCTGTCTTTGACCCATTTTTCTCAAGTTAATTTTTGATGATATCTAATTTTAAATTTGTGTAATAGATGATGTATATGTATATAAGGTGTACATTGTGAAAATTCAACCTATGGTTAATAATTTTAAATTTTATTGTATGCACAGTTTTTAATACACTTTGTACTTAGACAAGTTATTTCATTTATAGGTATATAAGGAATGGTCAATCAAAACTGAGGATGAAGATCCGCAGAAACAAGGTATGTTGTTATATGGAAAAATATTCTTAAATGGTATGAAATATTTCATGTGATTAAACTATTTAGCTTATGGATATTCTTTTGGTCTCATCTTATCTCATCTTATCTTATATATTATTATCTACTCTGGTGTTTGCTTGTGACTGAAATAACGATTTTAAGAAACCTTTGACCCACAGTCTTCATATTTGGCATGGAGGTTGATCATGACCATTAGGTGACCCTTATTGATTTTGAAGTCCCTGGGTCAAAGGTCAAGGTCACAGGGGCCTTGGCTAACAAAACTTGTCCTCTCAATTGCTTAAGAATGATTTGGTCAACAGTCTTCATATTTATACCCCCACCACAAAATGTGGGGAGGGGGGGGGGGGGCTATAATGGATTCACTTTGTCGCATTGGTCGGTCGGTCCGTCTCCATTTTCATGTCCGCTCTAACTCCTATACCAATTGAAGTATTTTCTTCAAACTTGACTCAAATGTTCACCTCAACAAGGGGATGTGCAGAACCCATGTTGCCCATGTGTCAGCTCAAGGTCAAGGTCACAATTGAAGGTCAAATATCAAACACAATCAAATATTAGACAGTATGTCGTGTCTGCTCTGTAAGTCATACACTAATTGAAAGATTTTCTTCAAACTTGGCTCAAATGTTCAACTCAACAAGGGGATATGCAGAACCTATGTTGCCCATGTGTCAGCTCAAGATCAAGGTCACAATTGAAGGTCAAATATCAAACAATATCAAATATAAGACAGGATGTTGTGTCCGGTCTGTAAGTCCTACACTAATTGAAAGATTTTCTTCAAACTTGACTCAAATGTTCACCTCAACAAGGGGATGTGCAGAACCCATATTGCCCATGTGTCAGCTCAAGGTCAAGGTCACAGTTAAAGGTCAAATATCAAACAAATATTACACAATATGTTGTGTCCGCTCTGTAAGTCCTACACTAATTGAAGGATTTTCATCAAACTTGGCTCAAATGTTCACTTCAATAAGGGAATGTGCAGAACCCATGTTGCCCATGTGTCAGCGCAAGGTCAAGGTCACAATTGAAGGTCAAATATTAAACAATCAAATATTACACAGTATGTCGTGTCCGCTCTGTAAGTCCTATACTAATTGAAAGATTTTCTTCAATCTTGGCTAAAATGTTAACCTCAACAAGGATATGTGCAGAACCCATGTCACCCTTTTGCCGGCTTAAGATCAAGGTTACACTTTAAGGTCAAAAATTGACTTAGAAAATATTCTTAAATTTTAACATTTATTTGAATTTCTGAATCTAGAAAAGGTATTTACTTGAAACTTAAGATATATAAAAATATAATAGAAGTGCCGCAAATAAGATATGCAGGTCAAGTTTCATTACTCTGTATTGCATTTTAAAAAAGTTATTCCCCTTTTTAGCTCACCTGTCACAAAGTGACAGGGTGAGCCTTTGTGATCGCTTTTCGTCCGGCGTCCGTCTGTCCGTCGTCCCTCCGTAAACTTTTACTTTAAATGACATCTCCTCATAAACCACTGAGCCAATTTCATCCAAACTTCACAGGAATGTTCCTGTGGTGGTCACCTTTAAAAATTGTTCAAAGAATTTAATTCCATGCAGAACTCTGGTTGCCATGGGAACCGAAAGAATTTTTTTTTAAATATCTTCTTTTAAAAAACCGTAAGAGCCAGAGCTTAGATATTTGGCATGAAACATCTTCTAGTGAGTGTCTACCAAGTTTGTTCAAATAAAAGCCCTGGGGTCAAAATTGGCCCCGCCCCAGGGGGTCATTGATTTTCCCTATATGCATATAGTAAAAACTTAATAAATCTTGTTTTAAAGAACTCAAAGAGCTATGGCTAAGATATTGAGCATCAAACATGTTCTAATAGGTGTCTACCAAATTTGTTCAACTAAAAGCCATGGGGTCAAAATTGGCCCCGCCCCAGGGGTCATTGATTTTCCCTATGTGCATATAGTAAAACCTTAAAAAATCTTCTTTTAAAGAACCAAAAGAGTTAGAGCTAAGATATTTAGCATAAAACATGTTCTAATAAGTGTCTACCAAGTTTGTTCAAATAAAAGCCATGGGGTCAAAATTGGCCCCGCCCCGGGGGTCATTGATTTTCTTTGTATTTGTATAGCAAAAACTTAAAATCATATTTGGAAAAACCCAAATAGCGTGAGGTTAGATATTAAGCATGAAACATCTTCTAGTAAGTGTCTACAAAGTTTGTTCAAATAAAAGCCCTGGGGTCTGTCAAAACTGGCCCCGCCCCAGGGTTAGTCATTGTTTTTAACTATATGTGTATAGTAAAAACTTTAAAAAAATCTTCTTTTAAAAAGCCCAATGAGCTAGAGCTTAGATGTTTAGCATGAAACATCTTCTTAAGGGTGTCTACCAAGTTTGTGCAAATTTAAGCCCTTGGGTTAAATTGGCCCTGCAATGTTTGGGGGGGGTGGGGGTGGGGGGGCTTTATACAGGTGAGCGACCTCAGGGCCATCATGGCCCTCTTGTATATTATTTCTGTATCTATCCAGATAATATTCCTGAGGAACTGAAGGACAATCCATTTACAAGGGAACAATTCGAGAAAGCTATATCTGAAGGGGAAGAGCGTGATAAATCATTGAGGATTATGGTGATTGGGTGCTATGGACAAGGGAAGACGTCATTGGTGAAGAAATTGTTCAAAGAGAAAGTAAAAAGAAATGTGGACAGCACAAATGGAATAGATGTCATTCACTTTGATGTAAAATCAGATTACACTTGGGAAAGAAGAATTATTGATACTGATGTAGATACAGGTATTGATATAGAAATATTAAACAAAAAATTAAGCAAGATTTCTAATCTGAACATGTATGCTGAAAACCATTTTAGCTCGACTTCTTTTCGAAGAAAAATTGATATCGTCATGCCTGCCTACCTGTTGCCTCACACATTGCCGTGGCTGTCTGCAAACTTAAACATAACATTGATCATAACTTTTTTATTTCTTGGTGTATTGTCTTCGTACGTGGCCTAAACAACCCTTGGAGCAAGACCATAAAGTACACCAGACTGACCTTGACCTTCATTCACAATTGACTTTGACCTTGCTTAAACATTTTATTTATTTGCTTTTAGAAAAAAGTTAAAAAAAAAAAAAGTGAAGCTTTGCTCCCACTCGGCATTGACTCTTGTTTCATGTTTATACCATTTTTAGTTAATCGTATAATGTTTTCATTGTGTACTTGGACCAGGGAGGCATTACAATCTCATTTTTTGAGATAAATAGCCATAAAAAGAGGATGTGTTATGGGCAAGGCCCAGCGTCCTAGCTTAAAGTTCAAGGTTACTGCCAGGAATTGAAAGTAGCAAATTGTAGTAATAACTTAATTGCACCTGGAGTTTGTGTCCGGTCCGTAACTTCTGTATGTATGATGTTAGTGGGATTTCAATATAACAAGTACACATAAAAGCCATAGGTAGATGATGTGTTTAGTTTCAGACACAAATCCAATTTCGTACTTGGAGGTCAAAGGTCAAATCCTGTTTGCCTACTATCCTCATTGGCTTATAACTCTAAATTTTAATGTAATGTCAAAAGATTTTATAATAGCAAATGTCTTCACCTGGGTCAGTGGATGAAGACGCATAGTGTTTACTTTGTGTGTATTTGTTTACAGTTTATCTCTTTGTTATTTTTAGATGGATTTATTAAGTATTTAGCATATACATTCACCCAAGTCAGACATTTTATCACATGCAAGAACGTCTTCACTTTCAAGGTCAAGGTTACACCTTGAGGCCAAAGGTCAAATCGTGGATTGCGACTATCACCTTTGACTTATAACTCTCTTATTCATTAATGTATTATAAAAACATTTGGCATATGCCTTAGACAGCCAGAAGGTGTGTCACGGATAATACATAGCTCAAGGTAATCTTTTGAGGTAAAAATGTCATGTGACTTGAGCATTTTTTTTTATTGCGGACACATTTCTAATCTTGTTAATTCTCTTTTATTCAGATGCAGCAAGAAGGCTGGCAGCAGTAGTTTATCCAAAGGATGGACAAGACAAGAATAATCAGTATGCAACGAGGAGAAAAAGACATGAAGATCGTTCCAGTACAGAGGCTGAAACAAAAGTCAATGCGAAGAAAATAAAGGTAGAGGCAAGTTGTAGTTACACAAATAATGACTCAGAAGTTGTAAGCGAGTCTCAAAGCCAAGGAGAAATTAGTCGAACGTCCTCCAGTTACGATAGTGACATATTTAAGAGTTATTCATCAGTATTGAGCGATTCATCCCTGCATGATACAAACGATGCATATTTGTCAGGGTCAGTCTGGGACTTTGGTGGTCAGTTTATTTTTTACTCCACCCATCAACTTTTCCACTCGAGACAAGCAATTTATTTACTGGTCTTTGATCTGTCTTTGGGACTTGACACTATTGTCGAAGATGAGGACTTTCCTAACAAGAAAAATGTGAAAACTTTAGAAGATTATTTAAGATTTTGGGTTAATTCTGTCCACTGTTTTGTTGGGTCTAATGACGGAGAAGAACCCCATATCATTCTGGTAGGTACACATAAAGACAAAATAAGTGCTGATCAAGATGTTGATGAATACTTTGAAGAAGTGCGAAGTATCTTTGATAACACCAAGCTGATCAGGCATATATACCCACAACATTTTGCAGTTTCAAACATCGGACAGGATACACACGATTTTCAAGAGCTAAGAGGAGCAATAACAAGATTAGGAAAACATTTGTCAGAAGAAAGGGCACATTTACCAGCACGATGGATCCTTCTCGAAAAGATGTTGAAAGAAAAACGATATGAAAGAATTACATCATTTGATCATGTTCTGGCCATTAACAAAGAGATCCAATATCCTTTGGCAGAAAAAGATGAGGTCAAGTTGTTCTTGCAATTTCATCATGCAAGAGGGAGTCTTTTCCATTTCAATGACAAAGAATTGTCCAACTATGTTGTCTTAGATCCACAATATCTCATTGATGCATTTAAATGTATTGTAACTTCAAGAAAGTTTTGTCTTACTCAGCCAAAATTGAGAGATGCTTGGAGACAGCTGTGTGAGGATGCTATTCTTCAGAAAGCTCTTATTGAAGAATTGTGGGAAACAAACACAAACTTCCTGCAGCACAAAGAGGTTTTACTAGGCTTCCTTCAATGCCATAGAATTATTGCCCCGGTGCTCAAGTATAATGAAACCAAAGATATTTCCAGCCACCCTGGACCCGTAGATTGTTACATTGTACCGAGCCTTCTCAAGAATAAATCTTCAGCTCGACTGGTGTCTAAGTTTATCAAATACAAGGCTCTGACAAAGGTGGCACTTGTATACGAGTTTGAGAATGACTGCATTGTAGGGACAGTCTTTCAACGATTCACAGCTGCTGCACTTGGAAGGTGGCCGCCTGTTTCTTATAAAAAGCAAAGTTTGCTTTATGAAAATCTGAGTGTATTTGAGATTCAACTTGATCATGCAGGAATGACAAAATTTAGAGATGGTATGCTGGAGCTTTTAGTTGTCAACCTGTGTCCGTCCAAGCAAGTTTCCAGTGAGGTTTGTGACTTGTTCCGATGTTTCTTTGAAGCAGTAGTATTTTCGGAATTTCGGAAGCTATCATGCATTGGTGAATCAGGAAGTCCTGGTGAAAGAAAATTGTTTACAAGTTCAATAAGGTGCTATGATGAAATCCATGGGCTTTACGGCAGTGACAAAATGTACAAATTAACGGAAGTAGAAAATGCCAAGCCCAGTATTCCTTGTCCAGACTTTAGTAGCCACACCTTCAATGCTCAAGATGGTCTTAATATGTGGTACAACACTGATATTATTGATATAAAAAGTGTTCCAAAAAAGGAACTTACTGACCAAGAGTGCGTAACATTGTCAACTGAAGTCATTGGACGTGGGTGGGAGCTTCTAGCATATAAGCTGGGCATCTCAGTAGTTGAAGTGGAACATATAAATGACGACTTTCCTAAGAAATCACAAAAGATTTTAAGAATGTTGAAGAAATGGCAGGGTAAAAAACATGAAAAAGCGACTCTGGATGTTTTGGTCACAGCCATCCGTAAAGTACGAGCCTCAGAGTTAACGATTGATGAAGATAAACTCAAAGGAATAATTTATGAGCTAGGTTGACACTTTGATTATTAACTGTGACAAATTGTGAATTGGAGCAAGTTCTTACTTAGGTATGCAATTTCTGTTTGATATTTTCTTTTCTTTTAAAATGAATTTGCCAAAGCAAGATTGAAGCTTTTACAGTATTTACTGTTAGATTATTTTGATTTGTATTGATTGTGTGTAAATAAGTGAATTAAAGTACCTCTACTGAGAAAAAAAAAAAAAAAAAAAAAAAAACCCGTAAAATTTCAAAGTCCTACAAAAATGTGAAGCACTTAAATGGAAAAATCTGTAAAGGATAATTATAAATTTGCTGAAAATTAAATTGAAAATAGATTTCTCAATTTAAGTTGTTTCATTTTTGGGTTATATTGCGCAATTAAAATGGTGATTCTGGAAAAGCGTGGAGATGTGGTGAGCTGAAACTTTGCACAAAAGTTATTGGTCTAGATATACATTAGATTGTACACAAATATTGGGGAAAATATTTCAAGAACGGTCATGTATAGAACCTCTGTGGAGTTCCTTTAAAATACACAATAACAAATGTTTGGTAAAAATCAAGGGAACATCTTTTTGACTGACTTGGGTTCAATTTGTTTTGGATATTTTTTAAGGTTGTAAATATTGAAACTTAAGGATAATATGATTTGAAGGATGTCTTTAGTTGATGTTGATGCAATTATCTTAGCATGATTGAAAACTGTCAGCCGTCCAAAGTATTTTAAATGTGTTCATGTATTTCATTTATGTGTTCAGTATTTGATCTCTGTTATACTAAAGACCAATTTGAAAAATGGCACTGTTAAGTTTTTTTTAAGAGTTTTTTTTATGCCCCCGGGCATATAGTGATTGAACCGTCAGTCCGTCCGTCCGTCTGTCTGTACGAGGTTAACCTAGAACGGAAGTTGGATTTTTCTTAAGTTCTACCTGTACCAATGGCTTCTAAGTTTACACATTTACTAATCAATACAAAGTACATGATCTGGGCAAGTTACATAACTGTGGCTTTCATATTTACCAAGTTATTGCCCTTTTCAGCACTTACAAAATGAATAATGGTTAACCTAAAACGGCAAGTTGGAAATGTCTTAAGTTCTATCTATACTAATGGCTTTATAATTTCCACACTTACTTATCAATACAAAGTACATGATATTGCCAAGTTATATAACTGTGTCATCCATATTTCCCAGTTATTTCCCTTTTTTCACTTTGAAAGTAGGGCCTTGTCTGGTTAACCTATTTCGGCAAGTTGGATTTATCTTAAATTTCTCCTAATTGCTTAATTTCTTTAATGATATCTTTCATATTTAGTAGGTGGATACCTTTGATGGTCCTCTAATTTTTTGTGGAGTAAGCGGTCTCTAGGGTCAAGGTCACTGGTTTAAAAAATAAATATAAACATTTTTGCTCATACAGCCTTTATATTTTAGTTGATGTTTTAGTTTAATACAAACATGCCAAGGGAGGTCCTCCTTCTTTGTGTGTAGTAAGGGGTCATTTGGGTCAAGGTCAATGTTACCAATGTCAAGGTCACCAATGTTGAAAATAGATTTTTACAGGTGTATTTACCTTATTCTATAGACAGATGTTATTTATAATTGATAGAAACATAAACTTTGATGGAGTTAGTGGTCAGTTGGGTCAAGGTCACCAGTGCTAAAAATAGATTTTTACACATTTGCTCATACAGCCTTTATTAAGTGACAGATATATTTTATATTTCGTAGGAAGATAACTTGCATGGTCATCATTTTGATTGGGGTAGGGATCAGTGGGTCAAGGTCACTTGTGCTAAAAATAGATTTTTACACTTTTTGCTCATACAGCTTTTATTTATTGACAGATGTATTTCATATTTGGTAGGAAAATAACTTACATGGTATTTTTCTTTTGGATAGAGTTAGGGTTCAGTTTGGTTATGGTCACCAGTGCTAAAAATAGATTTTTACACTTTTGCCCATACAGCCTTTATTTAATGACAGATGTATTTCATATTTGGTAGAAAGATAACTTGCATGAAGTTGAATATTTTTCATCTTCACAAGTCAGAGCAATGACTTGTCAACTTATATTTTTCACAATTACAAAATGCTTTGACTTTGTCAAGCTATATTATATAAACTTGTGTTTACAATTTTTTGGCAATTTTTCTGTCCATAACTGAGTGAATGGGTAAACATTTTTTGAAATCAAGAATCTGAGCCGGGGGCATTTGTGTTTAACAAACACGTTCTTGTTTGAAGTAAAGTTTGTTACTAGTCAGTCCCGTATTGTTGATCTCCTTTGTACTAAAGACCATTTAAAAAATGGCACTGTTATGGATTTTTTTAATAATTTTATTACTGGTCATACTGGTGTCTGTATTATGTCAACGAAATTATTTGTTTACTGGATAGTCCAGTTAGTATCAGTATAAATTGATGTGATATGAATTCATTGATCTCCTTCATACTAAAGACCATTTTAAAAATGGCACTGTTATGGATTTTTAAATAGTTTAATTACTGGTCAGTCTGGTATCAGTATAAATTGATGTGATACAAATTCATTGATCTTGTTCATACTAAAGACAATTTTAAAATGGCACTGTTAGGGATTTTTTTATAGTTTTTTTTAAATATTTTTATTACTTGTCAGTCAGGTATTCAGTGTCTTAAAGTGTCTACAAGTGATATTTCATATACATTGTTGTGCCAACTTTCCCTTGTACATATTGACTAACATAAACAATAAGGAGTGTCTAATGATTGTAGGCAATCATCAAATGATGGTTTACAACTAGAATTTCCTTTTATCCTTTTGTTCAGAAAATCCATGACAAGGATCAAGTTTGTTCAAAATTGTGTCAAATTTCATTATTATATATACTCTTGTAGAAATGTATATAGAATTTTTTTCTTTGAAATATTGTTGTTGTAAATAATAGCTGTTTCAGTTGATCAAAAACTTCCATGATTCATACTAAATGGGTCTTCAACCTAATGCATTTTAATCGTTACCATTTAATCTCGTTTTGACTAAAGAAATTTTCTACTATTATAATGGATATTCCATTTTTTTGCGGCATTCTTTGGGTGAAGTGTAAGTTTGGTAGTTACATTGTCTAAATGACTGCAGATTTGTTGACACGTTTTTGAAATGTGTTCAGTATTTTCATATTTGATGCATGTTCAGTATATTTACTATGTGTTCAGTATTTTTTATCTGTGTTCAGTATTTAATTTGATCTATGTTATATCAAAGACCATTTTAAAAATGGCACATTGTTTGGTGTGTAGATAGTTTTGTTACTTGTCATTACGGTATAAGTGTAATATGTCACTGAGATTATTATTTTACTGGTCAGTCCTGCCAGTGTTATGTGACCTGGTGAAGTATCCCGTTAATGTATCTATGACTGATATTTGATTACGACATTGTTATTCCTGCTCCTACATCATGTAGATACCCTCACATTAGGTACCAGAATAAAGTTTTAAACAAACATGCAGTGGTCATTGTATAATGTACTTTTTTTAACCAAAGGCTTAAGTGTTCTTCAATATTTTATCCCCAGAAAGTTAATTGACCAGAAGGCATCATTAATACTTAAGAAGCAAACAATACTTTACAAGCAGCTGTCTTTAAAGATTGATTGTTCTTAAACATAAGAAGAGTTTTATGATCACCACCATGTGAAAGCATCTGTGGATGTTTGTTATTTCTATATCATACATTGTTGTCTTGTTGGAATGGTTCTGAAAAGAGTTTCTAGTAAAGTGGGTCACAGGAATGGAGCATTGTGTAGTGCGCTTTGTCACTCACAAATAATTTCGGTCAAACTAAGTCTGCACCATTGTAAATTTTGTTGGATTTGACATTCTAGAATATCTCCATTTTGGATTTTTGGAATAAAGAATTGTTGATTGGACCTTTACAAAAAGCTTTATAGGACATACATGTATACTTTGCAAATAAAATATTTGCCATTGGTTTTGTTAGTTTCCAAAAAAATCCCTGAAACTACAAAGCGTAAGGCTTACTTGTTAATTTTATTCTGCATTGTCAAAAGAAGACATATCATAACCTAGTGCTAGAAGTAGCCAAGAACATTTTAAATTTTAAAGATTTCCAGGTGAGCAATGTTTGCCCAATAAGCCAAGCAATATTATTGGTCCACTTAACTATAAAGTAAATAAATAGAGATACCTGTTGTATAAAAATATATCACATATCCTTCATTTGAATGATTATGAGCATTTTCTCATTAAACAATAAAGAAGTTGTATGATTTTAAGTCCTGCACCCTCCTATCTTGTGTCCGAGGGTTTGTGACATCAGAATCGCAGCCACCATTTATCCCTGCATGATCAGAGAGGCAACTAAATGGATTTGAATTATTGTAGTATATGCATCTCTTAGCTGAAGCAGATGATGTGGTTTGACCCCTTGTGTTGCTTTAGATTTGTAATATCCGAGGTTAACCAAAATCATCTTTCCAGTTTCAATGCCATATGACCTAAATTGTGTTTGTGTGTCATAAAACCAAGCAAATAAAAACCAAGCAAAACCTTTCAACTTTTTCACATTCTTATTTCTTGTAACGAGTTCAAAGAATTAAAATAGGCAGGTTGTTTTGATAATGATTTAATAACCAGTTGTTGAAAGAGCATTAAATGGTCACATGTCCTCTTTAGTAAAGTTTTTTTTCTTCTTATAAAGCGAGATAAATTATGTGTTTATGATGACATTTTATATGAATTTTTCCCGCTATTTATATGCATGTGTTACCTTGACAACAGCAGTTAGTGAATTAAACAGTCGTTTTCTTCTCTTTCTATTTGATTTGTCTTTTGAAACGGGTCATGCCAAACTTTGCCGTAATTATCCTTTCAATTGTAAACCTTTACATCTTTGTTGGTGCCTTTATCCCTTTACTCGTTACAGTTACTCGACCTCATCTATCTTGTACATTTCTACATCTTTTATAAAATTTTCTTCTTGAAAATTTAAAAGGTTGTCATCACTGTTGGAATCATTATCACTTTTGCTTTCAGACAAATTTATTTATTTCTGTATTACAGTCCGTGGTTTGATAGGTCTTGTTTGGTGTCATGTGCATGCTTGTTAGTTCAAATCTATGCAAAATTTACTTTCTTCCCTTTTAATAAATAAATTCAGTTCTCTCTCTGCCTTTTCACCTACATCACCATTCATTTGACTGAATGAAAAAATCCACTCTCCTTTACAATTGTGCGGATTATCGTTTCTTCTAAAGATCTTTGCATCCGTTGCACTAAAAAGATATGCCACTGTGCTGTTCTGTTAAGTGAAAGTGGTCAGTATGCTCTAGTTGCTTATTTAAAATCAATTCTAACTATGGTTGGTTCGAATCTCACTAGAAGCATGAAATCTTATAAGTGAGGAAGCTATCGAGCTGTCTTTGAGAGGATCGGTAATTCTAATGACATGCCATCCCATGCCTTCTTCCAGTAGTCAAACCTCGAAAGTTGCCATATGACTGAAATATTGCTACCGTTATAATAAACACCCAGGCAAAAGAAATGATGAAAGAAAAATAAAGTAATAAAAACATTGTCATGGGTTTAAGACTTTTATTTAAACAAATGTGTACATGAAATAATGAATATTTCGTCTTCTTTAACTTACGGATTCCTCGTCTAAGTTGAAGGAGTTGAAGTTGTAACGAAGAGGAGTTGAAGTTGTAACGAAGAGAGTAGCTTGAATGCTGCTGTCATCAAAGGAAGGTACACTCGTTTCAAGGTCACTATTAACTGAAAACAGTTTCCGGATCATAACTTAAGTTCTATTTTGCTCACAATATTCAAACTTCATAGGATGATAGTCCATATTGTGTAGAAAATCCCTATTGGTTTTGGGGTCACAAGGTCAAAGTCACTATTACCTTAAAATTGATAACAGTTTCAGGAACATAACTTAACGCCCATTTGGCCCATAGTGTTCAAACTTCATAGGATTATTGTCAATATTGGGTAAAAGACCCCTATTGATACTTTATATAATTCCCATGTCTTACTTATGCTTCATCCTTACTAAAAAACACTTTCGGGCATATAATGCTTCGCCTAGAGGTGCCCATGTAAATTATTTTACATAAACCTTCAGCTCAAGCATTTCTGCTAGTATATGGCTTAAGTTTATCATGAGGTACAATTTTTGTTTGGCATACGAGGCTTAGAAAAGTATCCGGAAATGTTTCATAACTTTTTAGCTCACCTGACCACTTCATAGAGTGACAGGGCTATGTCCAGCATTGTGCGTCGTCAACAATTTGGTTGTTAACACTCTAGCAGTCACAGTTTTGATTGGATCATCATTAAACTCTATCAGAATGTTTGTCTCAATTAAATACAGGTCAAGTTCGAATATGGGTCATCTCGGGTCAAATACTAGGGTTTTGCTCATAAATAATGTTCCACCTTATATATTTAATTATCACATGCAGTATGCCAGTGCAGTCAGTGTCAGCTGCTGATATCTTCTCATGCTGAACAACATTTATAAACACTTTACAGATAACCCATGGTTCTGCAGCCCATAGCTGGAAACTTGCATCTTTCCAAGTAATGTTTGGTTATTTAGATTTTTTCTTTTATAAACACATTAATAAATACTGTTCACAACTTTCCAAACAGTATATGGTTATATAGATTGCTTCATTATAAATTCATAAATAAAACACTTTTAAGTGTTTAGTCTACTGTTAATTGTTGGAAATGAGTGTCCTTCCAAGTAGTGGTTTGTTATTTCGATTGCTTCTTTTATAAAATCATATTGATAAAATACTTGTCAAATACTCCATGGGTCTATCTTCATTTTTTGTGCAGTATAAGTAGTGTATATTCAAGAGTGCAGTATAAGTAGTGTATATTCAAGAAGTGCCCGGTTATTTAGATAATGCTTCTTCTAATTATATAATTTATAAAACACAACTGAACAACATTTATAAACACTTTATTAACACTCCAAGGGTCTATTGTCCACTGTTGGGATTAAGTAGTGTAAATCCAATTATGTCTGGTTATTAATGATTGCTTTTTTTAATTATACATTTATAAAACATTTACAAATGCTCCATGGGTCTATTGATCATTGTTGGGAAGTATTGTATATCCAAGTAGTGTCTGGTTATAATCCCCCGCCGAAAGGCTGCGGGTATATAGAAATAGTCTCCGTCCATCCTTTCATCCGTCCGTCCTTCTATCCGACATTTTTGTCTGGAGCATATCTCAAAAAGTATTTGAGGTATCTACTTGAAGAACTTAAAAGGTGGGTAGATCATATTGAAGAGGAGTGCATAGCACAAGAATGATAACTCTACCTTGCATAATTTTTCAGTTATTGCCCTTTGTTATCCCCCGCCGAAAAATTTCGGCGGAGGATATAGAAATAGTCTCCGTCCGTCCGACCTTCCGTCCGTCCTTCCGTCCGTCCTTCCGTCCGACATTTTTGTCCGGAGCATATCTCTAAAAGTATTTGAGTTATCAACTTGAAACTTCATAGGTGGATAGACCTCATTGAGGAGGAGTGCAGTGCACAAGAATGATAACTCTACCTTGCATGATTTTTGAGTTATTGCCCTTTGTTATTTTTCAAAATTGATTTTTGTCCAGAGCATAACTCCAAAAGCCTATGAGATATTAACATGAAACTTCTTAGTTGCATAGATTTCACTCAGGAGGTGTGCAGTGCACAAGAATGATAACTCTACCTTTCATAATTTTTGAGTTATTGCCCTTTGTTATTTTTCATTCCTAATTTTTCACCTGAGTGGAGCATAACTCAAAAAGTGTTTGAGATATCAACATGAAATGTCATAGGTGGATAGATCTTATTGAGGAGGAATGTTGTGCGCAAGAATGATAACTCTTCCCTATACAATTTTTGAGTTATTGCCCTTTGTTTTTTTTCATGCTATTTTGTCCAGAGCTTATCTGAAAAAGTATTTGAGGTATCAACTTGAAACTTCATAGGTGGATGGATCTCATTGAGGAGGAGTGCAGTGCACAAGAATGATAACTCTACCCTGCATAATTTTTGAGTTATTGCCCTTTGTTATTTTTCATTCTATTTTGTCCAGACTTTATCTCAAAAAGTATTTGAGGTATCAACTTGAAACTTCATAGGTGGATGGATCTCATTGAGGAGGAGTGCAGTGCACAAGAATGATAACTATACCTTTCATAATTTTTGAGTTATTGCCCTTTGTTATTTTTCATACCTAATTTTTCACCTGAGTTGAGCATAACTCAAAAAGTGTTTGAGATATCAACATGAAATGTCATAGGTGGATAGATCTTATTGAGGAGGAATGTTGTGCGCAAGAATGATAACTCTTCCCTATACAATTTTTGAGTTATTGCCCTTTGTTTTTTTTTCATGCTATTTTGTCCAGAGCTTATCTGAAAAAGTATTTGAGGTATTAACTTGAAACTTAAAAGATGGATGGATCTCATTGAGGAGGAAAACAGTGCTTAAGAATGATAACTCTACCCTGCATTATTTTTGAGTTATTGCCCTTTGTTATTTTTCAAAATTAATTTTTGTCCAGAGCATAACTCAAAAAGCCTTTGAGATATCAAAATGAAACTTCATAGGTGCATAGATCTCACTCAGGAGGTGTGCACTGCACAAGAATGATAACTCTACCTTTTATAATTGTTGTGTTATTGCCCTTTGTTCTTTTTCATACTTAATTTTTCAATTCAATTTTTTTCTCAAAAAGTATTTGAGGTATCAACTTGAAACTTCATAGGTGGATAGATTTTACTGAGGAGGGATGCAGCACACAAGAATGATAACCTACCCTGCATTATTTTTCAGTAATTGCCCTTTGTTATTTTCAGCCATCAGTATTCACATAGGTTTCAAATCTGTAATCACTATAGCCATCAGTTTTCATTACCAAAAGACCTCTTAAAATGGAATTATTCCGCTCTACTACATATACATTCTTCCAATGAGCAAACACATTCGGCGAGGGATGGCCATGTTGACATGGCTCTTGTTATTTTTCAAACTTAATTTTTGTCCAGAGCATAACTCAAAAAGCCTTTTAGATATAAATATCAAACTTCATAAGTGGATAGATCTCACTCAAGAGTTGTGCAATGCACAAGAATGATAACTCTACCCATCAGCTATCAGTTTTCATTACCAAAAGACCTCTTAAAATTGAATTATTCTGCTCTACTACATATACACTCCTCCAATGAGCAAACACATTCGGCGGGGGATTGCCATCATACATTTATATAACACTTGCAAATGTCCCACGGGTCTATTGATCATTGTTGGGAGGTATTGTATATCCAAGTAGTGCCTGGTTATTAAGATTGCTTCTTTTAATCATACATTTATAAAACACTTACAAATGCTCCATGGGTCTATCGACCATTCTTGGGAAGTATTGTATATTCAAGAAGTGCCTGGTTATGTAGATTGTTTCTTTTAATTATACATTTCTAAAACACTTACTAATGCTCTATTGATTATTCAATGTTGGTAAAATTGTATAGCAAAGAAGTGCCGGGTTATTAAGATAATGCTTCTTCTAATAGTATTATTGATAAAACACAAATGCTCCAAGGGTCTATCGATCATTGTTGGGAAGTATTCAAATATAACTAAGAAATATACATGAAATACATTGAAAATCGTATATTTGTGCCATTCTCAGTCCGATTTGAGAGAAAAGCGTTCTTTCAAATTACCTACTAACCCTAAAACCAAAAAAAAAAAAAAAACCAGGAAATTATAAATGTCAATTAACTTGTTAACGTCATCCGTCAGAGCACTACATCCTTTCATTTGTTTTGCATATTTATTCCCGATCTCTTCAATTGCTTCTCTGTCAAGCTTTTTCTTCTGGCAGTTTTTTTGCCCGCTGTTTAAGATAATCCTTGAATGTGTTCTTTATTCCCTCAGGCTGGTATCCCCTGGGACATAACCCATCTTTTCCCCGCGCATCATAACTTCTTCAATTGCTGAACGTCTTGCTGAAAAGAAAAAAAACAAGACCAATCAGTGTAGATCATATGCCTTCTATTTTAAAAGGACATGAACAAACCTTAGTATAATAACCAAGTAGTGTCTAGTTATTTAGATTGCTTCTTTTAATCATACATTTTATAAAACACAAATGCTCAATGGGTCTGTTGACTTAAAAGTTGATTCTGGATCATGTAACCATTGATGTATGTAGCCTTATAAAGCCCAGTGGAGTTCCTTTAAGGGAGATAATTTCTGAAGTAAGCAAGGTATAATTACGATTAATTCCGGGGAGCTTTTAAGTATGGATTCTACAGTATATCCAAGAAGCGTCTGATTATTTAGATTACTTTGTATGCCCCCACAATGTGGGAGCATATAGCGTTGCACTTGTCCGTCCGTCCGTCTGTCCGTCCGTACGTCCCGAAATCTTGTGAACGCAACTCCTCTTAAACCGGATGGCAGATTTTGCTTAAACTTACAGGGATGAACAACCTTAATGTGTAGATGGTAGTAAAGGAAGGAATTTTCGCTGCGACCAAATTTAAGAGAATAATGGCCCTTTGTTGATTTTTTTACTATATACTATGTAGAAATTTTGTGAACGCAACTCCTCTTAAACCGGATGGCAGATTTTGCTTAAACTTACAGGGATGAACAACCTTAATGTGTAGATGGAAGTAAAGGAAGGAATTTTTGCTGCGACCAAATTTAACAGAATTATGGCCCTTTGTTGATTTTTTCACTATATACTATGTGGAAATTTTGTGAACGCAACTCCTCTTAAACCGGATGGCAGATTTTGCTTAAACTTCCAGGGATTAACAACCTTAATGTGTAGATGGTAGTAAAGGAAGGAATTTTTGCTGCGACCAAATTTAACAGAATTATGGCCCTTTGTTGATTTTTAGTTTTCAACTTGTGGCACATGTAGTCCAAAAAATGTTTGACCTAGAGTCATAAGATTGACAGAACAGTGGCGTGTGGGGGCATCCGTGTCCTATGGACACATTTCTAGTTTAATCATACGTTTATAAAAAAACCTACAAATGCTCCATGGGTCTATCGATTATTGTTGGAAAGTATTGTATATCCAAAAAGCGTCTAATTATTTACATTGCTTCTTTTAATCATACATTTATAAAACGCTTACACATGCTCCATGGGTCTGTCGATCATTGTTTGGAAGTATTGTTTATCCAAGTAGTGTCTGGTTATTTACATTGCTTCTTATAATCATACATTTATAAAATACTTGCAAATGTTCCATGGGTCTTTTTGATCACTGTTGAGAAGTGTTGTATATCCAAGTAGTGCCTGGTTATTTAGATTTCTTCTTTTAATCATACATTTATAAAACACTTACAAATGCTCCAAGGGTCTGTCGATCACTGTTTAGTATCTGGTTATTTAGATTGCTTCTTTTAATCATATATTTATAAAACACTTACAAATGCTCCAAGGGTCTGTCGATCATTGATGGAAAGTATTGTATATCCAAGTAGCATCTAGTTATTTAGATTTCTTCTTTTAATCATACATTTATAAAACACTTACAAATGCTTCATGGGTCAGTCGATCACTGTTTAGTATCTGGTTATTTAGATTGCTTCTTTTAATCATATATTTATAAAACACTTGCATATGCTCCATGGGTTTACTGATCATTTTTAGCTTGACTATTCGCAGAAATCGAGCGAATGCAGTCACCCATTTGTCGGCGTCTGAGGCTCTCTGTGGTTAAGTTTTTGCGTGTAAGCTGGTTTCTCCATAACTTCTGAAGGGAATTGATGACAATCCACAAACTTGTTCTCTGTAATTAT